ATGTTGATGCAATAGTAATGTTGACAGCAGACTGTGTTTGTTGTGGAGCTGTTGTAATAGTAGTGGCCAGTGGTGGTGGAGTGGACATAGTACTAACAACAGGTTGTGTAGCTTGTTGACCTCTTGTATTGGCAGAAGTCTGTGGTGTTGATGCAATAGTAGTGTTGACAGCAGCTTGGATGTTTGGCGATGTTGCATTAGAGGTCACTGTACTTTGGATTGTAGGTGGTGCTGGACCAGAGGATCCAGAACTCGGCATTGATGGGACTGGTTGYAACTGATTACAACATTCAATTGTAGCTTGCATAGCTTTCTTCCTCTTTGCATGATAACTGCTCCACCAGCTCTKTATTTGGCTTTCYTTTAGTTCCTCGMTGCCTTGCTCTGTCATTTCACGTATGACATCTTTGGGGTTAGCCCGAATGCCATGAATTGCTTGACGGTCATAATAGTACAACATAATATCTTTCTGGGCTTGTGAGAATTGCACACGTTTACCACCACCTACTTTTATCCTTTGGATGGCAACTGATCATGGTATGGGTGTGTATCAACTACATTTAAGTTTGGCCTTAGGACTGGATCTGGTGCATAATGGACAAATGTCACACTATRTGGTTGTGATGAGGTGACATTCGGCTCTGCCATATTTCTTTGAGGGCCACCTTCGCCAACCTGAGCACCTGTGGCGCCAGCAATGACAGATGTCCTTTTGGATATTACCTGAAGCTGTTCTTTTGTCTTTTTCAGTTCCTTCCCCACTCCAGCGAGAGATCTGCATAAGATACCATTGGCATACATTCCATCTCTTGGGAATGAGAAATTTCCAAAGAGGGTACCCACATCCTTGGGGGCTCTATGTCGATCTATTGTCAACTTCAAGCAGGAGGTGTTCTTTATGGACTGAAATGATAGACATGCAGTAATTTAGTAATTTTCCACAATGCCCTTCAAACTGTTTGACAAATCTGCATACTGAAAATCACGTTTTCTATCACAGTTATCTATCGCATTATGCAGCAAGCAAAATGGATATGATTKATAGATACATCAATGAACGAACAGCAGTATAAAATTATATTATATACTTACCGAAAGTATACCAGCAAGTTGTTCACCAGCTTCTAGGTTGTTGCCTATTTTCACCCACCGAGAAATTCTGTGTGTTACATGGGCGAAGTGGGTATCCAGGACAGTTTTACCTTCCCCGGCTTCGAAGTTGTTATATTCTACTAGAGTCAAATCAAAGGCACGGTTCACCTCTGCCAAGTACAACAGAAACCCAGTGTTGTGGTAATSAGGACCGTTATCTGATGAAAAATGTTTTTAKATAAAATTACTTACTACGGAATAAATATACAAGTAATTCTCATACTCCCTAAAATRAATGTTTTGACCTGCCTTAGCTAACGATTTGAAGGAACTGTTTGAAAGATAATAAAGCAAACAATGTCCCCTTTGACACATATGGCCACCAAAAGCAATTACAACACATTCACACAAATATGTACAATTAAAATACATTTACCTACCAGAAAATARGTAAACCTCAAATCCAGGGAATGCTTTCTCCATCCAGGCAAATCCTACATCCATGGCACTCTGACTGAACCATGTGTCCTGCTTTGTATCATCACTCCAGAGGTCAATGATTTCTGCTTTGCGCTGTGTATCAAATATCTTTGCAATTACATAGAAACCAAAAATGGATATGCCTCTTTTACCGTACCAATCTCGTTGTATTTCCCTCATCCTTTTTCCTAATTCCAGTTTCATCTTATCGTCAACCACAACAACACATTGCCCTGGCTTCAGATTCTTTAAAACATATTGATAATAGTCACTTTGATGTTTTGTTCTTAAAAGATGACTGACATAACTTTGGTGTGCTTTCACAGACTCTTGTAGGCGTTGCTTAAGTTTTGTGATGTCTGTTGTGCCTGTTGGTTGTTCCAAGGCATTAGAAAGGGTGGAAATAGCACTGTAAAAYGCATTGATTTCTGGACAAACAGATAAATGGTTCTCCCTGCATGTACCCACAGCATATYCCATACAGAATTCAGYGCAAGGTGAATGCCTTGCAGTCATTTTGGCATATCGAGTCTTTAGGAAAGTTTGGTAATTCCGTATCTCCTTTGTAARTGAGCTGTAGTTGACATCATGTGCTGTAGCATTGCTAATCTCTTCTGATAGAGAACACAGGTTGTCAAAATTTGTGTGACCAAATTCATCACAGAGATTGCAAAGGCCTGCAAGCATTGAATTTGACCGAAAATTCTCTGGAAGGTGAGAATAAATGTAGGTTCTCTTGACTCCATCAGGAAACTCAAGACAATACTRTTGTACAACATTTTTGATGGAATCCTGCCAATATCTGATGGGTGTTTCAGTTCCATTCACAAGCACACTTCGGCAGGATGAAGCTCTTGAAATGCCATCCCTATGAAGAAACTCGGTAAACTCTTCAATAAGTTGAGGGYTAACTCTCTGTCTTGAGAATTTAAGTGTTGTTGGGGGAGTTCCACCACGTCCAAATAACAAACAAKGAACTCTTGCTGCAGCAACAGCATTTGGAGAGCACCCAAACCACCCTTGAAGCTGTCTGTAAGAGTAKTGAAGAGCAACAATGGAGAGCAAGCGACKCTTTTCATCACTATAATGYCTAACTCTCCCCACTGCTTTTGCAGCCTCAATCCGAGAGGATATTTCTTGAGGTGTCACTCCTTCATAGGCAATCCTACTASCATTCTTTGTGTTTCCAATTAGTATTTTCTGTCTTTGCTTTGAAGCATTTGCTTTAATKTCCTCCACCAGCACCTTATCCTYGCATCCTTTGTACTCATTTGCAAGAGACTCAATGAAACTAGAATCAGGAGAGGTATCTTTTTCTTTCACCTTTCCAAACACTGTTTGCCACTTCAAACTTGTAATAGTGTCTGAAATTATCTCTTTTAAATCAGTCTCAGAACCGTAGAGTGTAAACTTGGAGGCATAGCTCCTCAAGCAGTCTATAAGTTGGGCCCTTATGTGTCTCTGTTATCTTTCTGCTAATTCTTTATATGGCTTTGATGGTAACTTCTGAATCACTCATGTCGTGTTTGCTCTTTAAAAAATGTCGTCATTTAAACGCGCGCGCTGAGTAAAACTTTCTTTTGCTTCTTTGTCAAAAATTTCATATAAAACATTATGGCGGAAAGCATGTGCTTGGGGGGTTTTTCAATTGTAGATTTCGTCAATATTAATAGCCCCCCAATAGAGCCAATTACGCGGTAGTTTCCAGCTTCCAAACTATGAACGATCAAATTCCCGGAAAAGCGGGATAGTTCGTGCGGAAAACAAAATTACATTCCCGGAAAAGAGGGATACTATGGTGAAAGGGTTAAGAAATTGAAGCAAGAACTTCTTGACCGTATCTTCTTCTGGGGGAAATCTGATGGGAAATGTAGTTGACTCACAATGTCATCAGCAGCCAACTCCTTCTCTCCTGCTACAAATAATTCTTTAAATGTGTCAGGATACAGTGCCATCCTTTTCCCAAATCCCAAGGGTTTGTAGACCCTTCCTTAGTTGATCATGTTTCGCACTACCCTCATCTTATTGTCATTCTAAAAAGTAATTTATAAAATGTTTGAAATAACATTCATGATTTGTATGGTTGAGATGTGAGCTATATGTTTTTAAGATAAAATACATGTATATAGCCTACTGGTTGAGCTCTATTTATTATTTAAAATGAAGAAGAAACAGTCCTTACTGTCAATTGCAAGGTAAGTCCACAATTTGAGAGTGCGGTAATTATTTCCTCCTGATCCAGAGTTTCCACATTTTCTGCTTTTGCAATCTGACAAATTAAGAGAAAACATTTTCCAATGATGAGCAATAATGTTGTTTCATTTAGAAAGTTTCTAGATTTACAATGAAAAGCATGAAAAAATTCATTGGATTGAGGCTGCCATTGACTTGAGTCAAGGTCAGTCGTGTTCCCATGAACAACACTATACATTTCTTCGGAAATGAGTTTACTCATTTCAGGCTATTTTACTAACTGACATATTCTTGTGCAATATAGCTTTTTGATTTCAAAAGTAGGCATTATCAGAATCAGTCGGTATTGAAATTGACCTACACATTACCTTTGAAATTATGTGTCTTGTCTCCAATGAGCAATCATCCACAGAGAGGACTTCCATCGCTTCCTTAACATCACCCTTAGCCAGATAATAATATATTCCTGGACTAAATACAGGAAAGCCAGGTCCCCCTTGCAGTATACTGTGCACAATAATAGTGCCTACTAATTTCATTAACCCACAGGCCACAGTTTCACTGTTGTATATTGGCATACGATACTCGTCTCCTTGGAAGAATGTACCTGTAATTGCAATAAGGAGTTGAGTATAGAAGTGAAGCACAACTCCGCCTGTGTCAGCTGCTGGTTGACCATTGTAAACAATGCGAAGTCTTTTTGATGGATTGAAATCACTGTCCTTGTAGTAAGTCATTGCATCATTCAGGATATCTTCTTCATCTACTTTTAGTTTCTCCTTTTGACCAATGTCAAAATTCTTTTGCAGATTGTATATTTCTTCACTCAGGGATGGTGGGCCAAATGCAGATTCTGATAAATCTAAATCATCATCACTAGATATCATAAGAGATGTTTTAGGTTGAAGCAAAGTCATTATTGCTTGGGTTACAGATCCAGCTTCTTTCAGACAATTCTGAAGATCACTTCTGGTTTCACTTGGAAACATTTCTGACAGTTTCTCTAAATCTTCATCTTGATCTGATACCTTAGCTACTTTAGCTTTTGTGGATTTGGATGGAAGCACTGAGTCATCCTCATCACTGCTATTACTAGAAAAAAAAGCAATTAATTTAGAGTGCTTGCACTTAAAGTGTGAAACAAAAAGTACTAATTACTACTAAATAGTGTTGATTATACAATAGGAAACAAAGAAATTTGTATAATTTATCACCTATTTTGTAGTACTTATATTTCATGCATTTAGTGCGAGCACTCTATTATTTATACATACATTCATACATATAAACTTTATTATAACTTGCTAGTTTTCAAATGGGGTGTTAATTACATGTACAATGTATATGTAAGGGTAAAAAATATGCCATCTTCACTAAAATACCCCAGGAAAGGTATATTATTTGAAAAGCTCGATAAATTTACTTTTTCAATAATAGTTAGATACCTATCCAAATGAAATCAAAATTTGTACCACAGTACAACAAGAACAACTTCGTGGAACATACCCTGTCCAGGTTGTGTTAAGTGTATAGAATTTTTGTAGTGAAATATATATTTTTACCAGCGCCGATTTGATAGATTTTGCATTCAGATTGCATTTGCATTATCCTCAGAGAATTTATAAGATGGAAGTTTGCATAAAAAAACAAGTACATTTTAAAGTTAAAGAAAGAAAAAAACACAATTGTTTAGAAACTGCTGGAGTTGAGAATCGAACCCAAGATTGTCAGTCCAATGCCGCTTAATAACAGTGTGTGTAAAATATGTAAAACAAATATATACAGGAAAAATAAGAATAATTATATTTCATTATATTAAAAAAAGAAAGAATAAAGAGTAGCTTAGAGAAACAGTAATGAAATCCCAGGAAGCCTGGTTCAAATCTTTCCCAAAGTTCAAGGACATCTCAAATTTGTTCAAACTTCCTGCAAGGTTACTCCTTCTACCTTAATTGTATCTGACAGCCTTTTATATTGACTTGAAAATAATAGATATAAGAGCCAACTATATACATTGACTAATTACTAAATGTAGATATTATTTCAAGTTGTCATGTTGTGCCCATTGTCATTGTCTGATTTGAACATTACATGAAGTATATCAATATTTTTACCTTTCATTGAAGAAGCACTTATCACTGAATGAAGACTTTGTTTTCTATGTCAAAAGGAATGATTGTTACATCTATCATTGCTAACAATCAATTGGGTAGTTTAGATGACTAAGTGTTTAGTAATTAAATCGAAATTTAGCGTTTTGATTCATCTTGTCCATACATTTTCGATTGAATATCAGTCAAAATGAGATTATTCGGATTATCTTTCGTTTTATTCTACCTTAAAGTGTTTAGTCATTGTGTGCAGATCTGTAGTATTGAACAAAGTATTGTTTTTCTTATTTTGAACATTACATTAAATGTACCTTTCTTTTCTTGCCATGTGACTTTAGCTGGTGTTCTCTAAGTTGGTGCATACTTAATTGCTCATTGCATTCCATACACTGTACAAGTGGCGCATCCTAAAATCCAATCCAATCACATTTTATAATTACATACATCATTGTAGCCTTGGGAAATTTCAAAAAACTTTTCTGTTAAAAGCAGTAAACAGTATGTATGCTGTAAGCACTCTAACAGATAGCAACCAGAAAGCATATTATGCACTGTATCTCACCTCAGGGGATTCGTCTGGTTCCTGACACTGAAATCTTGGAAAAGACTCGTCAGAAAGTTCCAACAGGTTCTTCTGCAGAGGTCGTATATATATTTGTGATTGCCCTGCAATGTCTTTAATGCGCGAAGGTAGATATGGTGAAGGCAACTGGTGGAATCCTTGCTCCTCTCCACCTCGTTGGTAGAGGAGCAACTCATAGCCACCAGCTGCTTCTAGGAGAGGATATCTCTCTATCAAACATGCATGCAGGTTTTTCATGGAACTGTTGAGGTCTATCGTTATTGAAGCTGGACCAAGCCCGCAGTTTGATAAGGTTGTTCCTGCAATTGATCCAGGTGGCTTATCTTGCTCGATATCTGCCAAGCGAAAGAACTTTAGGGTGCAGGTTTGCAGTTTTCCTTTGCCCTTTTTTTTGGATGATGCTGAAGGTCTGAAGATTGAAGCCCTTGGCATATAATTAAACACCTTTCTGTGTTCAGTTGATGAGTTACTACTGCTACTAGATGCATTGTTGGAGCTACTCTGGGTATTAACATTGGTACTGTTGGAGCTACTCTGGGTATTAATGTTAGTATTGTTGGAGCTACTCTGGGTACTGATATTACTGTTGGAGCTACTCTGGGTATTGATATTGGTACTGTTTGAGCTAGTAATTGCTCCGTTATCACTTGTTTCCAATGCTGCATCTATAAATGACATTAAGCCATACATTTATTTATGCTTTGATTTTATTGTAACATTTCAACATTTATTGTAATCCTATCAACATGCAGATTTCCGTCATACATTAATTATCAATACTATATGTATGAAAAATATAATATAATGGCCTGACAAGTAGACTTTCGAGGAGGGGAAGGTAGCTGGATGATTTGGTTTGTACAATAATATTTTCTTTATCAACTGGTGGACAAGATATATATTTCTTATTGATATTTATTTTTTAGACTTACAATAGCCATAAATATTCTTTGTTTTCACTGATCACATGACATTCTAAAAATGCTATTTAGAGGCCAAATTAGCGAAATGTTATTATTATTATCCTCAATAGAACATCTAAATTAAAGGATCGTTACGAAATTTTGAGCCAAAATAATGCATTTTAACAGAAATACGAGCGATCGAAAATTGGTAAGAATGTAAGGGATTATCATGGCTCAATGGGCTTTAGACTGGTCAAGAAATACCTGCAAAAGACTTTGTTTTAAGATCGAAATGTTGTTATATTAAAACTTTAAAAGGTACTTGTTCTTGTTATTTTAAAATTATTTAAAAAAACAAAGGCATTTTTCAAAATATTTGTTTGACAGATCTGATGTCTATGAAATTTTCTTTCAAAATGTTGCTTCGGGGGTGTGAAATTCAACACCTAAGGTGTGAAAATACGCAGGAAACCCAAGTCAATTTTTAGAGAAAAATTGCGATCCCGACTGTAAATAACGCGTTAAACTTGAAACTAAACAGTTGCATACCACTTAATATAAGCATAAAAATTAGTCAGCCCAGAGAAAAAAAAATTGTATCAAATTTGAGAAATCGATTTTTTGTCTTTGGAAGGCCATAAAAGACAAACCGTATAGCAATGAACTCCGGGCTGGCTAATCCTTAAACTACAGAATAATGTGTTCCAAATATCTTTTAAAAGCTAAAATAGAACTCAAATTGTTATTCATTTTGTTCATTTTGCAACACTCCACTGAGCATGCGGAGTTTCATGTAACACGAGCTCGGACGCTGCCAATCTCGTGACCAGCGCCACTGTCCCTCTTACTCGCAGGCTCACAGGCTTGACGAAAAACAGTGACTCTGGAAATTTCGAAAATTTCTCGCTCTCTGATTGGCTCATAAAATAAACAACTCGCTGCCGGAAATGAAAATATCACCGAGAAAAATACTCAAATCATTCTGTATTTCTCTACCTCACCTTGCATTTATTAAGTCTATGAAGTGGGCATTTGAGAGAAATATGATCAATAAAGTATAAAATGGAATACAGCGAGGTGATGAGCTGTCACGCCATGATAATCACTAACGGTCACTGTCTGCTACGATCTGATCATAATAGATATCAAAATAGCTTTCGAAGAAGATAGATTTATCATCTAAGGTCTAAAAAAGGCTTTCAATTAGCCGATTGTCTTAAATAAAATAAGTAAAATAAAGCCATTATATTGGATTTCTACTGCGCATGGGTGAATAACCTGATTCTGGCTTCCGGTGTTTGATATTTCCAGAGCTCTTGTTTTTCGTCGAGCATGCGCAGTAAGAGGGACAAGGGCACTGGGCACGAGATTGGGACGCTGCGATCTTGCATCTTTGACCTCCAAAATGATCAAGCTGCGAATTCATACCTAGATACGAAGTTCTGGGTCGTTTTTCTAATGAAAATCCTATATTTTGATGATTAAAAACATTCCTTAGTTTAGCTTTAATATTATGTGTGCCCTATAACGATTAACGCTAAAAAAGTTGGGTATTTTTTTGAACGTTTGTCCAGAATTAGTACCTGAAGCTAAGACTACGTAATTTAATAGAAACAAAAGATCAAAACATTGGAGCATAAGCTAAACAATATAAGTTACTCTAAATTACAATGAAAGCGTACAGTAGGTTGAGTTAAAACACAGAAGGGGTCCTGTAACGGAGAGGTAAGTTAAGACAAAAAACATCGAGGTTACAGCCTTCATATACAATAAACTTTGAATACTTACTGCTAACACCATGATTAGCCAAAGACATCAGTTGCTGTGCAACCTTGCGAAGCGTTGAACTTACATTATTGCGTGAAGCCATTGTAAACCACCAACGAGAAAACAACTCCACGTGGGAATTATTACCTGAGTCTGCATGCATTTGATCCAGCGGTTTTTGTTGAGTCTGGGCACTTTCTGTACAGCGGTTTACTGTGTCAAGGTCAAGTCACGATGCATGAAGTTCAATTTAAACTTGAATGTTGAATGCAAAACTCGAAGTTTGATTGTCGCAAACTTTGAAAAGCTTTGAAAATTGTTTCAATCCAAACTTGAGTGAAAAAAAACTTGAAATGAATGTCGAATTTAGGAATATATGATTTCAAACTCAGTCAAAACTTCGTTGTAACCGCTAGGAGTCGAACTCAGTCAATATTGGATGTCAAATTATAAACTTGGATGTTGAATTCTAAACTTGGATTTCAAATGTTATTCTTGGATGTCAAATTATAAACATGGATCTTGAATGTAAAACTTGAATGTCGAATTTAAAACATGAATTTTGGCGGGGATATAACGCCATACTTTTCTGCGTTCTGCCTTTTCTGCCCGTAGTTACTAAAAGAAGGAATGACCTAAAATGATCTAAAATGACCTACAATGCAATGCAATGCAATGCAATGCAATACAATATTTTTATTGCTCAATTTCAAGATTTATTTACAGTGATAATTTCTATTATTAGCGGGCTAGCTGTGCTAGCCAGCTATAGTTTTACCTTTTCCACTCTGTYGKGTCGCAGTTTCCAKTCTCTCTCGAAYCACAGGAAGCCATATCTATCATATCTATTAGTTTGCAGTCTCTCTCGAACTGAAAATTTTCTCAAGAATCCAAAATGGCGGGTACTTCGCGAATAACAGAGAAAAAAGTACTCAAAACTATCAACAAGAAATACCAAAAGCTTTCTCATTGAAGAATTGAACTAGGATATTGCATTTGTGAAGTTTCAAGCTTGCTAGTTATCATTTTAAGACGATTTTGCATMGAAAATAGTCTCGCCTTCCTCACCAGTCCAGCTGGATGATTATTCAGTACAGCTTCAACATGAAATCAGTTCAAATACTGGCTTTTTTCCACATTTATAGACAGCAAAAGGTATTTTTCTGTTTAAATGACAATGTTTTTATTGTTCAAATTCAAAGAAATTGCTTTAATATCATCGGGTTTTTTTATTAGACGTTAAAAATGACAAAGTACAAGGTTTGAAATTGAACTTTGTTTTGCTTCAATTTTTAGATTTCTTTTGTACGAAAGAAAGGCTAATAAAAACAAAATTTAAAGAATGCACCCATGTCATCTAAAATGCATTGCTATGTAAATAATAATGTGATATTGCTAACCAAGAAGTAAAGAGCTTCCATAAATATTATTACAAAATACATTGCAAATGTAGGACAATCACTATATAGCAAAACGATTATGGTTGATAGTTGATATATGATAAGATTATAGCAGACAGTGAAGGTTAACGATTAGTTTCCAGAAAAGAATATTGCGGTGCACGATAAGAATTGAACTGCAAAGAGAACTAATGTATTGTACGGCATATTTTACTTTCATATATAGTTACGTCATAGTCACAATATTCATTGGAGATACAATTTTATCTTGTATTGAAAATCTTTTGCTAAGCTAGCCCGCATCACGCTTTACAAGCGTCTAGTTTTTCTTAAAGTAAATACTCCTTTCACATTTTATATGAATTTTGGAGCGACTACAGAATATCAAAAATACAAATCGCAGTGGCTTTCAATCTGTGTGGCTCGTCGGCTCGGCACTGATTTTTAATCGGTTTTTATTTATCGACTTTTAATCGGCAACTTTTCGGAATATGAATTCATAATGCATCTAGCAGTATTTTATTTAGTGGCTCGGCGGCTCGGCGGCTCGCTGGCTCGGCAGTGGGACTTATAAAGAACGAGAGATGAATTCATAATGCATCTAGCAGTATTTTATTTAGTGGCTCGGCGGCTCGGCAGTGGGACTTATAAAGAACGAGAAATGAATTCATAATGCATATAACAGTATTTTATTTAGTGGCTCGCCGGCTCGGCAGTGGGACTTATAAAGAACGAGAAATGAATTCATAATGCAACTCGGGCTTCTGTATAGATTTAAAAGATCGCGACGAGTACTTCTTAAAAGGCTGGTACGTGAGGACCTTTCCAGGGAACTTTAAAATCGCTGCCTGCATATCCTCCTGGGATGGCTGGTTCTTGGTAGGCTCACATGACTGCTCGACAATGGACTTTAAGAACTCTACAAACATGTCCTTTTGGGCATGCAGATAGTCGATGTACGTCAAAGCTTTGATGTAGATTTCTTTTGAAATCATCTCTGGCGGATTATTACATGGTTGATTGTTCAATAGGCAGTTTATGTGATAAGTCAAGAT